CCAGTCGCCTCCCTCCTGATTGGGCGGCTGCCCCCCAATCGGCGGCGCGCCTGGGCCGCGGACATGCATATGCAAAGCCTGCTGCATATTCATGAGCGCGGTCGCGGCTCCCAGCCCTTGATTAGGAGGCGCGAGTGGGAGCTCGGTCCGTGGCCGCGCCTCTGCGCTCGTAGCCCGCAGAAGCTCGCGGGGAATCGCGCGGCGCTGTCAAGGAAACTTTGATTTATGGCTGGGGTGCACAAATAATGGTTGCCGGGCGCACATGGATCCGGTAGAACTTTGCCTTCCCGAGTCTTTCTCCCTGCACTACGAGGAAGAGTAGGTACCTTGCCTGTGCTTGCGCGACTCGCGTGGGGCGCGGGGTGCATGCTCGGGCTGGGCTCGGCGCGCTGCTTTGTGAATGCCCGAGTCCACGATCGCTCTCTGGCTGCAGGGCGACCTTGGAGGCAACTGTGTTTCTCGTTCAGGTGTTAAGGGTAGGCGTGTGGTCGCGATGCCTAGTGGACTGTTCAATGCATCTTTTACCAAGGGCCCGTTTTCCCAAGCAGCGATGTTTTAAAATGCAATATTCTAAACGATCTCTGCCATGGAGAGCCTCTTGCGCGTTCGCAGTCTGACGGATAGGCTCAGCGCCCTGTCGTTTCTGACCGCGGAGTTGGAGGCAGGACTGCACACTGACTAATTCTCCTTCGGAGAACAATTAAAAAAAAAAAAAAAAAAAGCCCTGTGCAGTCGGGAGCTGGAATGACGTTATTTGCATGGTTAGCGTGAAGTCAGCACTTAACTGACAAATAAGTCCATGAAGTGACACGAGATTTTCACACATTGTAAATATTTAGGGCAGTGGGGACAGAAACTAGAGAAGAAACAGCGTTGAGTTTTCAAATCTCCCCTGAAATAGGCAGCGCTGAGACTGTGGCCGGTTCGTGCATGGTTCCTCCAGAGAAGGTGAAAAAGTACTTTTATTCTCGAATGCAGTTAATTCCTGTTTATGAATGTCTCGGTGCTCCTGGAAATGTGGATTTAGAGGTGAGAGATGGACGGGGCGCGAGAGGGGTCGGGGGAGTAAATTAGGCATTCTTGTGTAAATGAGTTGGTCAGATAAAATCTGAGTGGGTGCGGGACCTGTCACAGGGTTCCTCTGGCTTTCCGTGGACTCAGTCCTATTGGTCTGCTTTCACATCACCAACTGTTATAATTCCGGAAAGAGTTGCTCCTGGCACACGCTGGCTTCTCTGGGCCGCCGAGAGAATGTGACGTGACGTGGGAGGGGAGGTTGCCTTCGAGGTGGGTGCCCGCTAGCTGTCCTTAGCGCCCGCTCCTTTGTAATTAAGGGAGGCACGGAAAGTCGCTCGCTGTCTCGGTGGCTGCCGGGGGACGTCTCCATGTGAGTGAGTGCGTGTGTGCCTGTGTGTCTGTCTCTGCACGCGTGCACACGCACACACGGCCGCAGTCACAGCCAGGAGATGGATTTAGGAAGACCTGGAAGATCATAAGGCTGTGTTTGGATCAGTTTGGAACACTCCAGGGAAGAAAGAACCTTAAAATGCATGGAAAGAAAAATGAAAATTAAACAAAGGTAGGACTGCCTACGGGGCGGCCTTGGTGGTCGGTGTACCTGGCGCTGTAGAATTGGGGAATTTAAAATGTCTCCCTGTCTGGAAAATGCCTCATCCGGGCTCTTCCAGATTCTGAACTTTCTCTTGTAAAAAAAAAAAAAAATAAACCAGACTAAACTTTAAAAATGCCCCCCCCGTTTCCTTTTAAAGTAGTTTCCTTAAATTTAACTTCTTATAGCTAATTTGAATAATTAGTTTAGATAAGCCTCTTAAAGCAGATACATTTAAATGAAATCAGGGCACAGGTCCTTTTGGCTTTGGCGCAAGATTCAAACTAGCTTTCTTTTTTGGCTCAATTAAAAGTCATCTTTTAAAAACACAGATTTATTGTCTGGATGCGATTCTGATGGTTACGTGGTTCACTGGACAGACAGAAAGATCCAACGCTAGGCAACGCATCTGCCTCTCTGTCTCAATTAATAAACCACAGAATTTATACATGCTATTAATATTCATAGTAATTGTGCTGGCTTAAACCTCATCACGTGTGTGTATACATAGAAATGAAACCTGAGTTATGCAGTTCCTGAGGAAAATATTGGACAGGCTCTGCTTTGGAAGCTGTTAAAAAGATTCATACACTTTATTGACCACCATTAAAGGAGCTTAAAATGTTAACCTCTAGCTGTGTATTTTTTTATTTTAGGAAATGTGCCAGCACATTAAAGAACACCATAGTTGAGAGCTTGTTTCACATTTAATAGCAGTACTAGCTGATAGCATAAATAGATGAAAATAATATATCTGCTCATTTTGACATGTGTGCCAGTCTAATCATTGTGAATGCATGTGCTGATCAACCTCTGATTAAAATGTAACATTGACTACAGGATTATATAGCGGACTTAATTTAACTGACTGTTTTAACAGTTGTCACAGCTGTTGGAAGAAGGAAAGGCAATTGAAACACTCCAAAACAGACAGGGCGAGGAGGAAGGCTCAGTTTAGTAAATTTCAGACTGATCATTGAAACGCAGACGTTGAACGTTTGTCAACAGTCTTGTGTTTTAAGATCCCTGCATGTAGCAATGCAAGTTTTATTTTGTACGATCCACTCTTTCTGTTTCAGGGGTTTGATTTTTTGTTTTCTTTCCTTTCTCTTACCTCTTATTCTGAAAACCTCCACTGAGTTGAAATGTAACTGTTCAAAAGTGGTAATACAATGTCAAACTAGGGGGGGCTAAAATTAGACAAGAAGCAAAAGTGTATATAACAACCACAAAGCCATCAGAGTGGACACTGTGTTTTGGAAGACAGGAGCCTGCCCAAGTCACTTCAGATGTGAGTTTACTTCAGAACTAGAAACAGGCACTTTAAGTTTATTTTCCTAAGAGAGAATACTTCAAACTCCAGACTTGGGGCTCGGATTACTTTTCCTCCCAATCCTTCTCTATGACTCCTGTGAAAACACCTGCAGCCTTAGAGGTGGGTGGTACAGGTAATGTTTTCAGATAATTTCTCTGTAAATTACTGGAGGTCACAAGCAGCAGCGGCTGGGTGGGGGGGCAAGCTTGGCTGTGCAGTCTCGCAAGCTCGCTTGTCACGTCTCTAAATCAAACAGAGTAATTCTATTTTTCTAAGGACTCCATAACCGGGATACAAACCCCAAGCCATAGATAACCGAGACAGCCAGACGATGTGTATTATGTAACGAATGATTTTCCAATGCGAAGTAAGCGTGAAAGAAAAAAAGTGGTCCTGAGTTATCGGAATCAGTGTGGCAGGGGAGTGAGTGTGAGTGACCGTCACCTGCATTTCTCCAGCTCTTTGTGTTAGGGTGTGTGCATGTTACCCTGTGCGCAATCTGGGTAAGTTTTTAAATCCTCTTGCAGACAGACCTGGAAAACTGCTTTGCATTTCCCGGGAGCAGGCGAGGGCAGCCGTGTTGGCTGGTTCTTACAGGGATGGTTTCTGTCTTAATGTGTTTATAGCACTGCTGCTTTATTTACTGAGCCTAGTGTGTTGCAGCGGTAATTAACCCATGTTATTAGCAAAGCCCTTGTGGGTAGCCATTAATTCTCTTGCATGGATGATCATTTTTGTAGTGTTTTTCCTACAATAAGGTATCATTGTTCGAACATTTACATATATAGCGTATATATTAAACTTACAGCCTTTGATGTGCTTTTCCGATTTCACCTGACCTGTGCTCTATATCGACCATCTGATGAAGAATGGGTTTGTAATTCAGTGTTTAAAAATGCTACTAGGAGAAAGTAATTTTTTTGTGAAATAAAAATGACAAGGCACGAGAGATTCAAAAAAAGGGAATATTGCAGAAATCAGTTTTAACTCCAGATTTCCCAGATCTCAGAATTTATGATAATTTGTATCTCTGAGGTCTTTCTATTTAGTGAATAACACTTTAGACATTTTTTTATAAAATATTGCGCCAGCAGAAAAATACTTGTGGTTCCTGTGCTGAGCAGAGATAAGGGCCATCTCATTAGCCGGGCCATACTTTCACAATTAATTTTCGATACCTGGTGCTATTCATCAAAGAGGGAAGCTAACTTCTCTACGATTCTGTTTAACAATACTCCCACAGTACCTCACTCCTGCCCGAATTACAGACAAAGAAGAGATGACTGTTTTGGAAGGGAGGCATAATACTCCACGTCCAGTCTCTGCCACTTGGTACAAATTCCTCATCATTGTTTGAGAACAGTAACTAAACAAAATATTTCTTTGTTTTGCTGTAAGGTGATGATCAGCCCTGAAGATTTTTCTGTATATTCTTTAAAAAAAAAATGGAAATGTGTTGTGTATGGTTGATGGCTCAGACTTTATAAACACAAGGGACAAATAATAGCAGTGATTTGTTTTTATTAAAACAATTACTGCCAAATAAACTTTTCTGAACCACCTAGCAGACGTTTAGAAAGAGGAGGAAAAAGCACTTAAGGTGTCAGGGGAGAACTTTAAAGTCCTTGCAGTGGTGAAGCCCTGCTCTGAATCCCGCTCCCTGGCGAATGGGAAACAGACAGAAACAATGCAGTGTTGATGTGTTCACAGGCACTGGGGTGCCGGCCGTGCCAGCTCTCGGGTGAAAACGTTTGATTACATTGGCCCAGTTTGTTCCGTTTTTATCTCTTCTACATCCTCTCGCATCGTATTAAATCGTCCTTGTCCGAACGCACAGGCGATGGTAATGCTTTGCTGTTCCCCCCTTCGTCTGACAGTGAAATATTTAGCCTCTCTCTCTCCAGTCTTACTTCTGGGTGCGTCTGATAGAGCGGGGAGGGCACTGTGCCGCTCTCCGGCTTGACGTTTGGACGTGTGTTCTGTGTGATTTGCCATTGATTATTATTTCTGTGGCCCTGTGCGTTGGTGTACACCCATCTACACCATTTCAATCAGTAAATACACATCTGCTACATGCAAATCAGAGCTGTCGATAAGATGCTCACAGGAATGTATGCGCACATACAGCATCCATGTGAGACACACACATACACGAGGACAGGAGGGTGTGCAGCAAGCAGGTGTGCTGTTCAAATTGCTCATGGGTATTTATTTCTATGATAAAGTAGATCGCAAGTATTATTCGAATCAGTTGGCTGCCAGCTCCATTGCTAGGGATGACTTTAGCCTGGAATTAAGATTTCAGGAATTTACCAGGTCAGATTTAAAACTGAACTGATTTATCTGCTACATAGTAGGCAAATAACAGGTGACCTAGTAAGTGAATTTGTCTCT